TTCAAACCCACCAGCCACTCCTCGGAAGGAAGGTTGGGCAATCCTACTTCCATAGTGATACTGCCTTGGAAACCCAAGGAGGGGTCACTATGAGTTGGGGCCGACTCGATGGCACATAACAACAACAACAACAGAAGGGACTCCTGGGGTGCTCCTAGACTGACTGGCTCATAGCCCAGCCCTTGTCCTAAACCTAACCTAATCCCAGCCCCAATCTTAGCCTCATCCCTGTCCCAGAGTCAGCCCCAGTTCCTGCCCCATCTTTTTCCCAGGGCCAGCCCCAGCTATGCCCCAGCCCCACTTCCTGGGCACTCCTTGCATTACCCCAAGTGGGATTGTGGGTGGATAGCAGCCTCCCCTTCTCCTTAAACCCCTCTGGCCCGGGCTCACCTCTCAGCTGGGGCTTCCAGGGTAGAGAGTCTCAGATGTGGAGAAGGAGAGTCCTGAGTTCTCCGTCTCTGTTTGCAGAGGATCCCCTCATTCCTACCATTGCCTCGCCGGCCAAGCTGCATGAAGGCATGGAGGTGGACTTCAACTGCTCTACTCCCTACATGTGCCTAAAGAAGCCAGTCAACCTGGAGTGGCATGGCCAGGACCTGGCTCACTCTGTCACCTCCACCCTCCAGATTCTGGAGCCCACTGGCATCAACTACCAGGAGACCCTCCACACAACCCTGTCCTGGCAGGACCATGGCCGGACCCTGTACTGCCAGCTCTCGGTGGCTGGCCGCAGGGTACAGGGCGAGATACACCTTCAAGTGCAGTGTGAGTGAGTTAGGAGACACACTCATGCTATTGAACATGACCTCTGTGGCTCCCCAATGGCAATCAGTCCCTCTCCAGCCCATAGAAGCAGAACTCTCACTCTGAGGCAAAGCAGGGGCTTCCAGGGCAGGAGGTGGACAGAGATTGCTAAGTCACTAAGAGCCCCATGTAATGGTAATCTTCTAATTCCTGCTGGCTTTGAAGGGGGCAAATATCTTGTTCTTGTCCTTGGGCAGAGGAGAGGTGACACAGAAGCCCAGGGAAATAGGAACTCTCTAGTTAGTTTTGAAAAGAGCTCTGGTGGTATAGTGAGTGGTTAAGGCGTTTGGCTGCTAACCAAAAGGTCAGTGGTTCAAACCCACCAGCCATTCCATGGAAAAATGATGAGGCAGTCTGCTTCTGTAAAGACTTATAGCCTTGGAAACCCAACGGGGGTCTCTATGACTTGGAATCAACTCAATGGCAGGGCATTTGTTTTTTTATAGTGAGTCAACTTGGGGGGTCAACAGCACTTGTCCTGGGATTTAGCCCAGCTGGGGAAGTGGGGTAGTGCCTAAGGCATTTGATTGCTAACCAGAAGGCTGGCGGTTCAAACCCACCAGCCACTCCTCAGAAGGAAGATTGGGCAATCTACTTCTGTAAAGATTTACCACCTCAGAAACCCAAGGAGGGGTTGCTATGAGTTGGAATTGACTCCCTGGCAGTGAGTTTGGTTTTTTCACATTAGGCTACTCACTCTTGTGGTGAACAGGGAGTCACCTAGATATGGCAAAGAGTCAGCGGGGCGAGAAAGCCTGTTTCCATTCAGTTACACATCTTCCCACCACAGTAAAACAAGGCGATCTGTTCTAGAAGGACTGCCATTCACGGGGCCTGTATTGGGCTGCCTGGGTCCCCTGCTCATAGATGAACAAATCTCAGGCAAGGCACTTGCCCCTTAGAGTCTTTGTTTTCTCACCAATATGGCAGAGGAAACAAACAAACAAACCAGTTGCTGTTAAGATGATCCTGATTCATGAGGACCCCATATCTTTCAGAGAACTGTGCTTCATAGGGTTCTCAATGGCTGTTTTTTTTGGGGGAAGCTGATCACTAGGCCTATGTTCTATGTTAACTGTTTGCAATCCCCAAGGACCCAAATAAGCAAAACCAAACTCACTGCCATTAAGTTGATTCTGACTCATAATGACCCCCATTGGGTCTCCAAGGCTGTAAATCTTTATGGAAGGACACTGCCTCATCTATCTTCCACAGAGCAACCAGTTGGTTTGAACCTCTGACCTTTTGGTTAGCAGCCAAATGCCTTAACAACTACACCACCAGAGATTCTTAAAGACCTACATAAACCAAAAAACCAAACTCACTGCTGTCAAGTCAGATCCAACTCATAGCGACCCCTCCTTGGGTTTCCGAGGTGGTATCACTATGGAAATAGATTGCCCAAACTTCCTTCCGAGGAGTAGCTGGTGGGTTTGAACCGCCAGCCGTCTGGTTAGCAGGCAAGTGTCTTAGCCACTATGCTACCAGAGCTCCCTCATATTGTTGTTGTTGTTATGTGCCGTCGAGTCGGCCCCGACTCATAGCGACCCCTCCTTGGGTTTCTGAGGCAGTATCACTACGGAAGTAGGATTGCCCAACCTCCCTTCCGAGGAGTGGCTGGTGGGTTTGAACCGCCAGCCGTCTGGTTAGCAGGCAAGTGTCTTAGCCACTATGCTACCAGAGCTCCCTCATAGTAGAGGTAAAAATAAGTAGCTCCTGTCTCATAGAGTTGGTATGAAAATCGAATGGAATGACTCAGATAAGGTAGTCAGAACAGTGCTTGGCACATACTAAGCACTTGAAAATACTAGCTTTTATTATTATGTTTACATAGAGAAAGGATTTAGAACAAGATTTAAAGAAATGCAGGTTCTTTGTATTGTTGGTACCTTCCTTACAAACTGACTAACTAGTCTCAGAGCTAGTTTGATGCTGTCTTTCATCCCCTCTCATTGGATGGTTGGTCCCTTGCCAACAGCTGCTTCAGGTCACTGAAACAAGCTGGGTGGTATCCATGATTTTGTCTTTGGAACCAGCACCAGTTGCTGTTGAGTCAACTTCACTCATAGAGACCCCACGTGTGTCAGAGCAGAATTGTGCCCCCTAGGGCTTTCAAGGGAGCTCTGGTAGCATAGTGGCTAAGACACTTGACTGCTAACCAGAGGGCTGGTGGTTCAAACCCACCAGCCACTCCTCGGAAGG